ACGTGTTTGGGTTTACAACCAATGAGAAGGCAGAATGACTATGAAACGACTTACACACAGGAAATAGCTCTCTTTTGGGAAGCTGGAACCACCGCAGGAGGAAGGGTGAGATTTTAGCTCTGAGCTCTGACCTCTTGGCTTTCTCTTTTACATTGGTTCTGTGTTTCTTATTTAATAAGACGGTTGGTTACATCTACAGGTGAGGAGCTAGGTATAGGTCAGTTTGGAGAGCTTGCTGCTAAATGGACAAGGTCCTGGGTTCATAGTTCAGTTTACAGCACTTATAATAATAATAATAATAATAATAATAATAAATCAATAAAATATCTGCTAATGCTGTTGCTGAATGGATGCCTTAAGGAAACTTGTCAGAGGAGAGAAAGGTGTAGTGTGTGTCTGAACAGCTCAGTTGGTTTGCTGATGTGCAGAATGGGGGTGGCAAGCCTGGCTGTCCTGAGACTTCCTTGTCATGGTAGTTCAGTGTGTCTCTAGGTTCCCAGTGTGTTACCAGGCTAACTGCAGAAAGACTAAGTCGGCAGATTTCATAGCCTGCTGTGGTCCTTAGTCACCATGACAACCCAAACAAAAATTCTGACCAATTGCAGGAAATAAAGTACTTTGAACTCTCTTTTAATATAATGTTTGGGTTATTTGATTATGTTCGGTTTGGTTCCTAGAGACAGCCATAAGGACCGTGCTGAGCTTCATGGTATTGTTTTGTCCATAGCATCATGAAATCTCCCAGTGTGTCAGATCCCTGCAAGAGATAGAAACAGGGCCCGGCATGGTGCGGTATTCCTATAATTCTATTACGCAGGAGGCCGAGGCAGGAGAATGCAGAATTTGAAACCAGCCTGAGCTGTATAACAAGACTCTATCCCCCCAAATAGGGTGGGACATAAATGTTCCTACTCAGCCATCCTTTGTAGTTTAAACAGTAAACAAGAACAAAGAAAACAGATCCATGCAATGAATGAATGGAGATTCTCGTTAGATCCATCAATTATGGTGGCGACAGAAAATCTTTTCAGTGCTTAAGGTTTCAGTCAGTCTCTCAAAACTGGAGGCTGTCAAAGAGGGGGGAAGAGCTCTCTCTCGGGGGACCCCACCCCACAGCTCCCCCAGATCCCAATTACCGAGTAACGGGGAATTTCCCACAGTTTACACAGCATTTTGCTCTAAGAAAACATTTAAAGTGCCGCAGGGCTGATTTCAATAGAATCATGGGAAGAGGCGTACATGTTCCGGCTCCACCACCAAAACAGCTGTGTGACCAAGAGAACGCCGCTTTCCTCTGGGGCCTATTTCCTATTTGCAAAGCCAAGTGGATGGCCACCGAAGTAGAATGGCTAGAAAAGTCAATGTATTGTGTAGTAAGTTCTACTCAGAGTGCAGTGACTACAGACCCAGGCAATGCCAGGAAAGTTTGCTGCAGTTAGAAAGCAGCACAATCGATTTGGAACTGGACAGTAACCCTCAGTGATTAAATTAGCGCCCACCAGATAGCCCATGGGCCTAAAGTGCCAAAGTCACAGAAGGTGCAGGGAGGGAAGGTGAAAGTCCAGCTGGGAAGGGCAGGTCGCCTGCAGGAGGCTGGCACCCACACTGGGAGGGGTGCAGCCTCAGCTCTCACCAGCCCCAGGAAGGCGGCATACAGGACCGCGGTGGAGAACCAGCGCAGCGCGCTCCTGGCCCGGCCCCTCCGCCGGGAGGCCGCCGCCTTCCGCTCATTCTGTGCCGGGGTCTCGGCCTGGAGGAGGCGCTGCCCAGCAGCCGCGGTCCCGAACCCACGGAACTCCACTTCCAGCTCCAGCTTGGCCACTCCAGGCTACTGGTCTTGCTGCTGCTGCTGCCAAGCTTTTTGGCAGATCCCTCTGGAGGTCTGAGCTCGGGTCCTTCCAATCCCGGAGGTTCCGCCCAGTGTCACCTTCCCCCAGGGACCTTTCAGAATCAGGCCAGGGAAACTTGGACTTCGTACATAACTGTGTTGCAAGAGGAAGACTTTCAAGCCCCATCTTGCCCAATCCTGCGCGATCACGTGATGAAAAAGAGGCTCCAGCCAGCGAGGGCGGCGGCTCCAGTTAGATGCAAACGTGGTTGGTTACCCGGGAGACCGCTGGTCGCTCTCCTGCCAGCCTGTCACCTGTCAGAACTTCAGACACAGATGACTGACGGGTGCCGCGTAGCGGAGAAAGTAGGAAGTGCAGCTTCGGATCGGAAGAGGGGTAAAATGAGGCAGGCTGACCTTTCATTCCAGCGTTTGGGACGCTAAGGCTAGAGCACGACTAGTTGGAAATGGAGAAAAGCAAAAAGGTGTGAATATTGGAGATGTCTGCCGCTCTCCAAGCCCACAAGCGCGTTTTCTGCTGAGGAGTTGTCTGAGCGACTCTGAGAAGTATCTAGCACCCCCACCCCACCCCCTGCCCTGCCCTGGAACTCTCCACCAGCTCCAGGGAAAGAAAAATGACTCAAAGCCCAGCATATACACAGTGAACCCAGTTAATGGTCAGTGTGGATCGCAACCAGCAGTTATCACAGGAGAGCAAGGTGGCCCTCCGTTCTCACACTGCGGCTAAGATGGCAGAGACCAGTACAATCCAGTATGAAATGGGATGTACCCGATATATTGCCAAATGAGGGCCCCAGAAGAAGTAAGATTACCACCACCAAGTTCTGCTCAGGAACGAAGATTCCACGTCCCAAATGCTAGTGGCTGTGCAAGCTCCGGAGAGGACTGAGTAGCGAGAGACGGTAAAAACAGGCAGGTGCTCCACCACCGAGCGAGCTCCGCAGCCTGAGACATTGTACTTTCCAGACCAGCAAATCGTGACCTCAGTCAGCTCCTTTTAAAACCTCTAGCTCTAATATTAGCTCCTTGATTACTGGGCCAAAAGAAAGAGCTCTTAAATTTCTGGATTTAGAAAGCCCTCAAAATTAACTAAACCTTGCAGTTGGCAGTCTGAAAAGAGTGGGTGAAAATGCTGTTCTCCGAAATGGACAGCTGTTCAGAAATGAACTCACTGTGAGAAGATGGAATAAATTATATCCCCAAGACCTGTGCTGTGTGTTGATCAGCTGCCGCCTCTTCTAATCCACATGGCAACAGCTGTGGCATTTCAAATATAGATCCAGCCATTGGAGGGACACCAGAGGACATTTCTATTGTAGATGCAACTTCACCAACAGATTAACAGGAATGCAACTCTAGAAAAGAAGAACAGTGGATGTGGGGGAAATGGGACGATCATGTATTCAACTACTTAGCATTCTCACTGCTTAATATTGAATTCCTGTGCTTTGCTAGAGGAACCTCAGCTCTCAACATGTCTCAACAACTGCAAATATTTCAGACTTCAGAAAGAGATGAGATATGGAGAAAACTCTGATGAAGAAACATGGGCCAAGAACTGTGTCCAAGTGTGCTTCTCTGTTGCCGTGGTCAACACTATGACCAAAAGCAACTTGCAGGGTTGGTGTGGGGGGTGTTATTTCTACACTTTATAGTTCATGGCTGAGGAAAGCCAAGGCAGGGGCCTGGAGAGAAACTGAGGCAGAGACCATGGAATGCTGCTACTGTCTTGATATCTGTTGCTTAGGCAGCTTGCTCTCTTACACACCCATAACCACCTGACGGGGTGGCATGGCCCACATTGGTTGGGCCCTCCCACCTCAATCATTATCAAGAAAACTTCTCCACAGACATGCCCATAAGCCAACCTGATGGAGCTAATTCCTCAGCCGAGGCCCCATCTTTCAGAAGACTTTCGTGTGTGTCAAGTTGACAAAAATTAACCGCACACTTCAGGGTAGAATCTCAAGCCCATACTGCCCAGGTCATCCAGGGAACAGAAGGAGCCCAGAGGTTTTGCCCTTTACAAGGTGTTCCAGAATTCCTGTGTGTCCAGATGCATTGTCCACATCTGATAGTTCTTGTTGTGTCATTCTGTTCATTCCACAAATCCTTGTTGCATGTGATGTGTAAGTTTTCACATGCGCTTCTCAGGTAACCCTCACAACACTCTAGTTCTTCCTTAGCCCTATTTACAGATAGGAAATTTAAGGCATAAATAATATATAACAACTTGTCCGATGCCAGATAGCAAGTTACTGGCTATACATTAACAGTTTAATATAGCTCAACCTGGATCTGGGAATGTAGCCCAGTGATAGAGTACATGAACAAGACCCTAGCCTCTATCTAAGCATCAATATGTAATTTATGTATTTACAAATATATGTAATTATAATTATATATATATTTCTTTGAAGCTGATGTTTCTCAACTATGCACCCTTCCTGGAGAAAACTCAGATGTTGTAAAGAATTTCAATTGCATCATTGCTTAGTTGTTAGCTTTGTTTGTTTGCCTGTTGTTATTTTGAACAGGGTCTTACTATGCAGCCCTAGCTGTTCTGGAACTCACTATAGACTGGAGCAACCTGAAACTCACAGAGATCCACTTGCCTCTACCTCCTGAATACTTGGATCAAGGAGAGTGGGCCACAACTCCTGCCCAATGCTTAGTTTTTATACTAGCAAATGAAAAAAAAAAGTCTTACATTTTTAAAAAGTACATTTATTTGTGGTGTGTGTGTGTGTGTGTGTGTGTGTGTGTGTGTGTTTGCACACACATATTAGTACACCTAGCCACAGTGTGCACATGGAGGGCAGAGGACAACTTGAGGCTGTCATTTCTCTCCTTCCACCCTGTGGGTAACGGGAATTAAACTCAGTTCAGGCTTCAAAATCAGCGTTTTTACCTGTTGAACCACCCAGCAGCCCAGCAGGGCTTGTCTTTACCACATTCCAGTTTGCTCTTTACTCAAGTCAATCCCATTCTCAAATTGTGACATGTTTTCCTTTAACTTATATTAAATGACGTTTCTGTCTTCTTGCTCTTATCCACTTAGATTCTGAGATTACAAACCTTTGAGTCACCCTTTCTTACAACCAGCTTTCCAGTTTGTCCATTTGGTCAGTAAGCTTTTCTAGTTTGCTCAGATCTCTCTCTCTCTCTCTCTCTCTCTCTCTCTCTCTCTCTCTCTCTCTCTCTCTCTCTCTCTCTCT